AATTACATTGCTTGTAACATGAGTTTCTAATAATTACAGTAGTATTTTAAAAATTATAATGTATAGTATAAGATGAAATCTAATTTAAAAAATATTTTTACAGTGATTATTTGTTTAAATTGCTCTTAATTGGAGATTCTGGAGTTGGAAAGTCTTGTTTGTTACTCCGCTTTGCTGATGACACATATACAGAAAGTTATATCAGTACTATTGGTGTAGACTTCAAGATAAGAACGATTGATCTAGATGGAAAAACAATAAAATTGCAAATTTGGGACACAGCGGGTCAAGAACGATTCAGAACAATTACAAGCTCTTACTACAGAGGAGCACATGGTATTATTGTTGTTTATGACTGCACAGATCAGGAAACTTTTAATAATGTTAAACAATGGTTGGAAGAAATTGACCGTTACGCTTGTGACAATGTCAATAAGCTACTAGTTGGCAATAAATGTGATCTTCATACTAAAAAAGTAGTTGACTATACAACAGCGAAGGTAAATTAATTTGATTATAAAATTTTAATTACTAAAACCAAAATTCATTACAAGTTATAAATATTTGTATATTGTGATAATAGGAATATGCAGATCAACTTGGTATTCCATTCTTGGAAACATCAGCAAAAAATGCAATGAATGTGGAACAGGCTTTTATGACAATGGCTGCAGAAATAAAACTCAGAGTGGGTCCTCCATCTAGTAGTAGCAATGATCCAGCAAATAAAGTGAAAATAGAACATGGACGTCCAATCGAGCATCCTAAGTCTGGGTGCTGTTGAGAAATGTAATTCTACATCTGTGTAACCAAAGTAAATAATTTCATACTTACTATGGAACTTATATAATAATATATAATTATATATATATATTAATTAAACATAAGATGAAGGATCTGTATGTTAACACTGATAGTAAATCTTTTAATTATAGAAGGACATCTTATGGTAGCAGTTTTGTACTGCTTGAAAAAAGAATATTACCAGAAGAAATGTGAAAGATAATGGAAGTTTCAGTTTATATTAATAAAAAGGAAAGAGGTGTGAAGCATTATCAATTATGGACCACTAACTCTATTGTAGAGTTGAATAAAAATAACTTTTGTTCTATCTTTTTTTTGATAAGAGAAGAACATGATCACTCGCTAACATACCTAGTGCAAAAAATCAACCATAGGAAAATTCGTCGAATTAGCAGGAATGGTCATTGATTTTATGCAATGATACGTTTAAAGGCAATTCGAGTTTATAAAAGTAAATTAAATAATATTGTGTATCGTGGTTATAAAGATAAGCACTTTTTATTTTTTAGCGTAATTATAACATGTATAATTGAATATTTCTTTGTCTAGCAGAAGGAAGTCATTCTTACCCCTTTATACTACCCAAACATTTTTCCATGTTTTATTCCAAACACTTTCTTGAGGTAAACAACAATTAGATTACTAATATACTGAAACATGCCGTCATTGCTGCCTCCCTCTTTTTTCAGTGCTCATTAGTGTAATTTAATAACATTATATTAATAAATATGTCAACACTAATATACAAATCGCAAATAGCATACCTGTTCACATGATGATACTTACAAGAAAAGAAGTAAGTATTAAACATGTTCCAACTAGTGACTTCTATATAAGTTACTTGAATTTTTATTACACTTATGCTACTTGTGATATTCGCAACATCGTTTGCCTATTATAAATACATCGTGTCGTTTGAGGAGTTCTTGAACGCTTAATGAATATTCAATATCTTTCGTCTCGTTTCTACAAAATAAGTGCATATTCGTAAAG